GCAAATTCATAATCACGCCCCATCGCATTCTTGGTTAAACATACTCGACTTGGCATACAATTTGACCATGTAGATATGTTTAACATTTATTTTTTCTTTGTAGTCTAAGTAACGTAATCTATTTAAAATAATATGTGAAGCAAAAACTTTGTATCCCTTTTTACGAAAATGTGCGGACGGAGGAGTATGAAATTTTCCACACTTATAGAGAATATAGAGAAGAAGTGCACAATGCTAATATTTTTTTTAATAATGCATAAAAGATACATAAAAGCAATAAAGAAAACATTACACACACTACATACCATCTATTTGACGCACACACGCATGCATACTATTTATTGTCAAACTTTTGTTCTTGACGTCTGTGGTAAAATTGACAATAGATTAAATATTTGGTCGAGACCCGAGCCATAAAAAAAAAAAAAGATTAAATATTGTTTGTCTTTGTTAATATTTTTTATAGTGTAGTCTTGGCGAAATTTGTGATTATAGAAGTATAAAATACAATCATAATAGTGTACAAACATACAATTCCAATTAATTATAGTCGAATTTCGTAATGTAATGTAAAGTTTTGTGTGTAAATTTCTAGAAAACTTGACAATTTTCGAGTAAGCTCTTTACAAAGTAAATACATTGAAAATTGGCACAACTCGAAACATAATACCTTCCATTGTTACTAATAAGTGTTTTGATAAAAGATAACGCGATCAAGTAACCCAACGCTTACATCGTCAACAATCATCATTGTCAACCATAAGTTGAACGATTAGCTGATAATGGCTATAAATAGTTATCTAGTTTTTTTTTATTTACAATGAAATTGATTTATCTAAATTGATTATTTATTAATTTATAATTCTATCATTCATGCGCTATCGATTTCAAAAGTTATTGTGTCCTATATGTTTTTATTATCTTTTTGCGTACCCTCATTTTCTGTAGAAAGTAAGGACTTGTATAATAGTCAATACAGAGATTTTTTCATCTTCGCCTAGTAAAAGTTGTGTTTTTCCTCACTTCATGCTCCAGGCCCCAAAATCATTTATATGAAATATCGTCAGCGGTGCCTAACTACTTCGGAATACACTGATATTATCAACGGCAAGGGAAACAGTTTTCGAAATTGAAACCAAATAGTAGTGGTGATTCCTATCATGTTGATATTCAAATCAACGGTAGGGAAAAAAAGAAACCTTAAACATTGGACTGTGTCTATGGTGTGTGATCTGTGTCTATGTCTAGTTCGCTCGTCGTATTTTTATCGAGGTAACGGGTATAAGGCTGTCAGGACAAAACGCAATTCGCATTTCCTCCCAACTCTCGATAATTATTTCCTAATAAATCACTAAATAGTACAGATTAATATTCGAGCCGTACACATTGAGAGTAAATAAAATTACAATTTTATAGCACACATATTTATGATATTGTTTAAAACTGACTACCATAGAGATATCTATCTTCCATCCGGTCCCGCATTGAATTCCTGTCCACTAACCATGAAACGAGCTGATGCAGTTACGAAACTCATGGTACCGACCTTGTTTTAAGCAATCATGGATCCGTAATTTTTTTTATTGCTTAGATGGGTGCACGAGCTCGCAGCCCACCTGATGTTAAGTGGTTACTGGAGCCCACAGACATTTCCACTGTTTTTTGGAAACACTGCGTTTTTTTTATTTGAAGGCATAATAATACACAGCTCGTACGTAATGCAAAGATAGTTCACAGATTTTCATCACCGATATTGATTATTTACGAACGTCGACTTACATGTTTTCTGGCTAACAAAGAAAAATATTATTGAAAATGTTATTGCAAGTTATTATTATAATAACATTCACAAATATTAGTAAAGTTCTTGAAATCGTGACAAATTTGTATTTACGTAAACAACACGTTAGTCACATCCATTGTAACACTTTACAAAAATTAATCATAACACATACGAAAATGACCAAATCATATCGTACAACTTATGTATTTACCACAATTTTTCGTATTTACAAAGAAGTTCTTTGAAAGCGAAAATAATTAAAGAAAAAGTTATATACTGTAGATGCGTGTGCGCATTATTTATCTAGAATCAAGATAAAACAATCTAGCACACATCTGCATTTATCTGTTCTAATGGATTAATTTTATTATATTAATGACAGGATGTTCTCTCCTACAAATAGCCTCGTCATCTTAGATTACAATACTGATGAGCATGAGGACCGTGAGCACCAAAATCCTATTCTACCTCGATCATGCATTGCGACTTAAAAATTCCTTAAAATTCAGACTTCTATTAGATTTTAAAAGAACAGCATCATTTTCGTTATGATATCTGTGGGCTTAAGTAGTCGCTTGACTTAAGGTCGCCCATTTGCTTATAAATAAAGCACGTTATATTAAATGTGATTCTTTGGCCTTTACCTAGTTGCTAATCAATTGAAGACTATAAATTAATAAATATTTTGACATACATTTCTCTCAAACACATCGAATATAATTTACTCGTAATATTTGGTGGTATGACCTCTTGAGAGTCCGCACGGGTAGGTACCACCACCCCGCCTATTTCCGCCGTGAAGCAGTAGTACGTTTCGGTTCGAAGGGTGGGGTAGCCGTTGTAACTATACTGAGACCTTACAACTTATATCTCGAGGTGGGTGGCGCATTTACATTGTAGATGTCTATGGGCTCCAGTAACCACTTAACACCAGGTGGGCTGTGAGCTCGTCCATCCAACTAAGCAATAAAAAAATAAAAAAATTCGGGGAAACCAACTGAAGTATTAGTGTAAACATTTTTATTTATCCCAACTGAAACGTAATTAAGAAGAACGGTTTTTCCTGCATCATGTTCTTGGAAATAAGCAAATCGAAGAAAAACACAATGTTATAAACACCTCACATCCAAGCTATAAAGTCGGCATTGAGTATATTCGTTAATGTACTACAAGATATGATTAGATTATGATGTAAATGAGATTGCAGACGACATTGAACATGACTCCATTTGTCAGCCTGATGTATTCCGATAAAAAATCATATACGCTCTGCACGATTCATTCTAGTCGTAAAGGACAACAAAAAATAAAATTTCAATAAATATATTGTAATATTTATTGCGTTATTTAAGTCGCCAGTGAAATGACAGTAACTTTACTTTGAAAATGCTTTTTAATTAACGATCAAATACTAGAAACAAAACCTCTTAAAACGACCCTTTGATATTGAAGTGTAGTAAAACAGTTTGTATGAATAGTGATTTAAAAAAACATGTTATAGTTGCAGATGGACTATAAAAATTATGCATAAAATAATAAACAATAAGTGATTGAAACTCAAGTGATATTAGTATAGTGAAATGTAGTGATTAAATGAACAATAAAAACAATCAAAATGATGTTGTACATGACCAAAACTACAGAGGAAGCAGTGGTCAAACGACCGCCGAGGAGACGGCATGTCAGTGCTAATATAAAGGTAATAAATAAACCGTAATAAACATGGAGGGTACATATATTAAAGGGCATGTATGTTTTGTAATTAATATTGTTACGCGCTGAGGTTCTTCGGGCTTCGGATGATCCGTTCGCTGTTTCGCTTCGAGTAGTTCCGATTACTAACTGCGTGCCATCTCTGCAACGCTTTTATAGTCGAAACGAAAGCCCTAGAATCGTCGAGAATATTCCACACAAGTCGAGTATTGTGTTTTTCCGCTATTTTACAATAGATGGCATTGTACTTCTCGAGCGTTCTAGATTCTACTAGATCCTTCGATATTCGTTCGGCTATTCGGCGATAGAGGGCGTAACAATATTTATATTATAGTTAAGGTAACTTTTGGGAATGCACGTGATGTCAGATGACCTGATTCGCCGGTTATTTCTTAAAGTTTATAAAAATCAATTTATCTTTTCCTTTTGTTCATTTCTCACTATCCGTGGCATATCGTGAGCATAAGTGGTATAAATAGGGATTTGCAAAAATCACTTTTACTCGAATTGTAATTTTTATATTCAAATTATAGAAATACTACACTTACAATAACACACGCACAAATATTTATAATACATCAGTACCATTTTAGATTTAAAATGTTCACTAGAAAAAGTTTTTATATAGCGCATTTGACTTTAACGTCTCTAATTTCATTTGTGTATTTCATTTTAATTTTTAATCTGATTTGAATTGAGATTGACAAATCAGAATAGGAAGGTGGGCTTATGTTGTTAAAATAAGAGTTGGAACCACTACTAGTAAGGATGATCGATAAATATGAGTATTAGTGTTCGCCGGGCTCTTCCGTGTGGTCTTATCTTCTATTGGCGCTGCTATATCATGTAAGATCTTCCAACAAAATCTAATCGTGTAACACTTTATCTTGCATTTATTTCACAAATAATCCCAACACCAGTGTGCTTAGTGCCAGTTTTTTTACGTTCTCGATAGCGTAAAAGTTAACTCAAATATGTATGCAGTTAGAACAGCGCCCCTAACGACCAACATAGGCAAACGTTCCAACTTCATACAAAATTGAGTTAACGTTTACGCCATCGAGAACGTTAAAACACTCGCATTAACGTTCGTGAAATTAAAATTTCACGCCTTATAATAGGACATTACTTTTTTATTTATTACCTTATATGCGCCCTTATTATTGGCTACCAGAACCGATAGACATAAAGTCGAAATCCTTGATTAGAAGTTAACCATGAATATCCATGGACACATTTCAGGCTACGTATACTTTAATGTCATTTTCATTTCCTACCTATGCTGATAGTCTTAAGAGGCTATATCAGCTTCGCCCTAACATGTAGGTGAGCTCACGGAGCTCAAACCGCAGTGTTGCTAACACTGGCCCTAGCGAGGGCAGTGCTTCTCAGAATCTACCACCGGGTCGGAAATGTGACCCACTGAGAAGATCCGGCGAGAAACTCAGTGGGCGTTGTGATTGGCTCCGAAAGCATCACTGAATATGTTTTCCTTCACCCACAGCGACATCTGGCGGGCATATCGCAGTCATCCTGCAGCGATGGTTCCTTGCTCAGCGTGGGCTCGTCCGAGATGGACGAGGACAGCAGCAGCGGACATCACCATTCGCACGAGCACTCCAGGAGCGACCACTTCGATTTTTACAGTGAGTGGAATTCAGACAAAACATAAGTTAGAAAAGTTAGAAAAATCAAATTGATGTCGTCGTGGCCTAAAGGATAAGACGTCCGGTGTATTCGTGTTGAGCAATGCACCGGTGTTCGAATCCCACAGGCAGGTACCAAGTTTTCTAATGATATACGCACTTAACAAATGTTCACCGTGAACTCGTCCAATAAGCAATAAAAAGACATCTATAACGTAAATGCTGGCACCAACCTTCAGACAAGAGTTCTAAGGTCTCAGGGTAGTTACAACGGCTGCCCCACTCTTCAAACCGAAAGGCATAACTGCTTCACGGTCGAAACAAGCAGAGCGGTGGTACATACCCGCGCAGACTCACAAGACGTCTAACACCAGTAAAATACTAATATTTTTGTTTTGTTTGTTAACATGTTTTCCTGACTAGTACAATTAAAAAGGGTGATCAGGGCCCTGAAACTGCGATACTTTGAGACATTTTTTTTTTTGTATAGAAACTAGCGACATCTTGTAGCGGATGCCCCTAAGCTTATATGTTGTTAAAGTTAAAGCATTCAATTATTGTGGTTAATGGAGCCCATAGACATCTACAACGTAAACGCGCGACCCACCTTGAGATATAAGTTCTAAGGTCTCAAGTATACATAGTTCAGTGCTTGAGTTGCTTATCTATGACTAATTTATGTGTATTATCTATGAGAGTGATTATAGGCTTGAAAATTAATTACCGCTGGTTTTGTTAACGTTTTCTAGACACATCGGAGCCTCCGACCGGCGTGGCGCCACTGTCGCACTCCGCCGCGCGTCACAAGATGGCCGTCCGACCGCGACGCACCCACGGCCCGCCCAGACGCAACAAAAACAATGCCGTAACTATTTCATTTATCAGCTACAACTTAAATATCCCAACCATTTTCCTCCTAGAAACATTGACTGTGCACGTATCTGCTATGTTGACGATTGATCCATCCGGTCATCGTTCTCGTCGAGCCCTTCGTCGCAAGCGACCCACAGACACAGCCCACTGAGTTTCTCGCCGGATCTTCTCAGTGGGTCGAGTTTCCGATCCGGTGGTAGATTCAGCGAAGCACTGCTCTTGCTAGGGTTCGTGTCAGCAACGTCGTCAGGTTTGAGCCCTGTGAGCTCAGCTACTAGTTAAGGTTACGCTGAAATAGCCTCTCTTTTATTATTGGTATTATTGTGTACATTTTCGCCACCAATAGAACTATCGAGCTGTGTGTGTCGCAAGAAACACGTGCGGTTGCAATTGGTTAAGAACATTGTTCTCTGACCCCGCTATCCTATAATGATTACTGATTCAGAATAACACACACGCCAACTGGTTTTTCAAAAACAATCGCATCTTTTGACTTCACTGAAATCTCAAGTCCAGATATATAACAATTCCAAGAGCGGTGTATCTATTGCCGCTGCGTTAACAAAATAACGTTATCGATTTCCAGATTGCCGCATCAGCCTTGCCGATAACGCCCGAATTGAACGAAGAAATGATACGAAGCGTTACTCCCGAAGTCGCCATCAAAACATCCGAAATTATCACTGGTCAGTAAGAGATGTCGTCTCATGATTTCATAACGCACTCTTAATGGGGTCTTTAATTAAATATATTTCGTTCATTTCAGAATCATTCTCTTCATCGTCAACGAAACATCATAAGATCGTAAAAGAGCAGCACCATCAAGTCAATCGTGAACTACAAAGAGTATTAGAGACTCCAACTGATACCAAGTTGAAATCATCCTCCCTCCCTCCTGGTCTAGCACTCAGTCAGCTCGGCCAGTCCCCCGCCAAGTTGAGCATCGCGGAGTCCAACACCCCGAGGTCCTCCATAAAACGCAGTCAGTCCAGTTCCCAAGGCACGAACCTAAGAGAAAATTCCCCTAAAAAAGAAATACACAGCTACCGCTCCGAAGACAGAATGCTTCAGTACAGATCGGACAACAAATACGCCGAAGAGTCTTGCCACGAGAAGAAGTCTAAATCTGAGAAAAAGACAGAGAATGAAAACATTAAGTCCTCGAAGAAAGAGGAATCGTTCTTTAGCAGATTACTGCTGCGGAAGAGCGGAAAGAAATCAAAAAAAGACCAAATAGACGGAGAGAGTCAACTCGAAGTGAAAAAGTCGAAAACAGAGAGAGAACCCGCAAAATATAAAAGTGTAGATTCTGAGAGATTACCTGAAGCAGCGGGGCATAAGCCCGTCCCGCCCGAGCGCTCTCAGAAGTCTATATCTGCAGGACAAAGAGTGTTTGCAAACCAGATGCACAAACGTCTAGACACAAAGGGCTCTTACGTCCAAGATAGCGCCTACAAGGACGTGTACAGCGCCGCCAAGGTCCCGGGACTCGACTACAACATTACAGATCTCAAAATAGCCGAAGAAACAGACCGAATGCTGAACATGGAGATCAAGAACCGGTTCAGCAGACGCGAAGAGTTAATTGAAAGACCCGAACGTTGCAAGCGGATTCCCTCCAAGGAAACCTTCGATGATAAAAAAGATTCATTCAATTTACAGCACGACACATCTAAAAGACCAGTATCAGTTCAAAAACTAGTCGAACCTGTCACGTCTAAAGCATTTATTAGCAACGAGACGGCGAGTCGCGTTGAAGAAGAGATGATGTCTCCTACTCTAGTCATCTCGGACGAGGAACCTCCGATCAGAGCGACGCGCATCAAGAACACTCCATCAGACTACATGTTCAGCAGTAGCATGCCGAAGAATTTGCCTTATTTTAATACAAACGTGATGTCTTCTTCGCCCCCGAAGAGCAGACAACAGAGTTCGGAAGCGATAAAGCAAAGATCATCGGAACATGTTTCTGAAGTCGTCGAGAACATTATCAAGTGCAAACGTGAGTCTGTGCGCCACGCCGCCAGGACCGAGGAGTCCTACGTGTCCTCGGGCATCAGGTCTCTCGGCGATGAATACGTCGAAACCAGAAGCAGCATCGGGAAGTCGCACAGCTTCCGCTACGCTTCCGAGTGCTCCTCGATCAGCTCCCAAGAGAATCAATTGCCGAGTCTGCCGGCCGTCGTCGGCATATCCGAGCCGTTCCTTGAGAGCTGGGAGGTTAATTACAGGAGAAACGTCACCGAGAGAAACGACGTCGCCAAAAGAGGCTCGACCAGAAACTACGGCTTGCTCCAAGATACCGCTGATGCCAACTACGACAGTCTGCCGAGCACCGACAGCAGCTACTTGGACAGCCTCAAAACCGACGCCAATGAAGACAAACAATTATTCACAAACAGCATCCACATCACCATGGACCACAAGAGAGACAGTGACATATCTCAAATCGAAGCTAAAATTGACGACATCATCAGTTCTCCTAAACCAATTCTATCGCCGATACTCAAATCCAGCTCCTTAGACAGCATTAAGAGCAGCTCCGAGAGACCAGTAGAAGATAGACGTAAGACCATTTCGGTCGAAAGCGCTCTGAGTCAAGGGAGTAAACCTCAAAAGGAAGTTAAATTGGAACCGGAAACGTTCATATCGGTCACCCACATTAACAAAGAGCAATCTCCAGTCAAAAATGCAGACATAACAAAGGCTATCAAGACAGATGAGAGGACTTCAAAAGAAATCAAGCCTGGTGTGCCAGAATTCTTCAACATACAGTTAAACAAAGTCGATGTTGTTAAGCAGAGTACTAACGTCGTTTTGACCGCGAACGTTACGCCGAAAAAGCCGGACAGCCCCCAAATGGAGAAAGACCAAGACTGCTTCCCAGCAGTAGAACCTAAATCGAACATTCCGTTAAGAAAAGACTCGTTCGTAGCGAAGGCAGTCGAGAGCATCATTGAGAACTCTCACATCGATGTTAAACTATCGCCTGCCTTGTCGAGAAAATCTATCGAAAAACATTCTCCGGCGCCGCAGAGCCCCTCCACTCCTAAAGCTTTCTTCAAAAGAAAAGCGGGGAGCGTCGAACTCCAAGACAAGCCAGAGAAACCCAGAACCAACTCTCTCAGCACCGAAGGAAGCACGGAAAAGATCTACGATAATATATCCGTAGATCAAAAGTCACATTCCAGTTATGGCAGCAAAAGCTCCATACAAAGCACAGATAGTCTGGAGAGTAAAGTCGATAGACCCGACGACGGAGTCGTTTACCGAAAGAAGCCGGTGCCGTCCAAAGACATCAGAGGCGACAGGAAAGACGACGAGCCCGAACTAATGAAGGTGTTCGCTCGCAGATCCTTGAAGATCAAAGACACGGAGGCCGACAGCATCGCCCAGGACATCGCCAAGTGCAAAGAAGAAAACGACAACGCCACTAAAACCAAAACGCTGAAGAACGAATTTAACGCTTCGATAAAATCCCGGGACAGCGACAAAGAGAACGAGGAGGCAGTCAAGGACGACAAGAGGGCGGGCGGCATCGCGGCCAGGGTCAGCCAGTTCGGCGCCCACTACCAGCGCAGCGTCAGCATCGCCAGCGTCGCCAAGCGGGACAGCGCGCCCGTCTGCAGGAACGAACTCAACCGCTACAAGAAGGAAGTGTCCGACTCCACGCCGGAGAAGCGCCTGCGGAACCGCACCTTCCCGGACTCCGCCAACGACAGGGAGGACATCAAGAGCATCACCAAGAGTGACGTCATCGCGTACAAGGCCGACACCCTCACGAAGAGGCCGTGGCAAAGGAACGAGGACAAATACAGATTGTCGGCCGAGAGGGAGAGGCGAGAGAGTGCTGTGATAGAGAAGGACGGGGATGTAGCGAGGGACGAGAGTGCGAAAGGGAGGGACGGTGCTGAGAGCGAAGCTGATGCGTCTCCACAGTTCAAGGGGATCCTGCAGATGCGAGCCGAGTGGGAGCGGAGAGCCAAACAGGGCATGACCAAATAACTGGTGCTAGGTACAAAGGTGCGTGCACACGGCTCACTCATAGGACCAGGCGCATATACTATTACTAGCTTTTGCCCGTGACTCCGTCCGCGTGGAATAATTACTTTGGCATAACGCTAAATTCTACCCCCCACTTCGTTTACGTAGAAAGCGAAAATATTTTGAAACAGTTTATTGGTGGCTCTTCCATTTGTACCGGTCTCATGGTGATTTATATCCTATAGCCTTCCCCAATAAAAGGGGCTATCTAACACTGAAATAAATTTTCAAATCGGACCAGTAGTTCCTGAGATTAACGCGTTCAAACAAACAAAATCTTTAGCTTTTTAATATTAGTATAGATATTATAGAGAAACCTATCAGAGGCAATGGTTTGTGGATAATATTTCTGTACCTGAATTTGTAGGTATTATCACTGGACTCTGAGGTGGGGTCGACATTAGACCCGATAGATGTCACGACAAACAGGTCCCGGGAAAAAAAAATAAACATTAAATTCAATTTAAAAAATACCCCCAATTTGAACAATTATTGTTTACTGGTGATAGGACCTCTTGCGAGTCCGCACGGGTAGGTACCACCGCCCCGTCTATTTCTGCCGTGAAGCAGTAATGCGTTTCGGTTTGAAGGGCGGGACAGCCGTTGTAACTATACTGAGACCTTAGAACTTATATCTCAAGGTGTGTGGCGCATTTACGTTGTAGATGTCTCTGGGTTCTAGTAACCACTTAACACCAGGTGGGCTGTGATCTCATCCACACATCTATGCAATAAAAAAATGGAATATTTCTTAACACCCTCATAGAATTGAAAAGATGTTTTAACATTCTCTTTATCGTTCCACAGGTTTCCAAACGGCATTTCATCTTTACAAATGTCCCGGGAATCCTTACCGTACCACGCTGCGTACTGCATTAATTAGTTGTTTACAATTATAAATACTTAGTATATAGACGTGCTAAATAGCTTAGTGTTATTAAATACATATTATATTATATTATATTAACATAATAAAAATTTATCTAATGTTGAACTCTGGGACATGTATTCTCGTGTGTTATAATTATTATTAATGCGTAGCGCATAGTTATATTTTATTAAATGAAATCAATGAAAAGAAACCAACGTAATTGAATGTGTAATAAATAATACGATTGTGTATTGAATTTATTTGGAAAAATGAAATAAACAAATCTATTCCAATAGTTTTTTTTTGTTTTTTAGATAGATATAATAGATTTTTAAGGGATCTTATGACCTGGTATTAGTTACCTTACTTACTTACTTTTAAGTCATGTCCTATTTTAATTTATATTCTTATTTTTATGAGAAATGATGAAATGAAATGAAGATGATTAATTTGAGACATTAATCAACTGGGATGAAATCAAATGAAATGAGATGAGATGATATGGGATGAAATATAATCTCAGTAAAATGGTGGTCGTTTACTGAGACTTTTTCATTGGACTTTTTGGAGGATCCCGAGAAGTGACGTCCGGAGGCTTTGTTTCATTTTCCCACATTTGTGCACTTTCACAGATATTAAACAGTTAATAAGCCACCGTTATTACACATTTAAACCTGAAGAAACACTAAATAGACAAAATAAAACAAATCACACAACTTCACTCCTCGCGTTCCCTCCCGCCAAAAAGTCGCCGGTGTTGTTATATTTTATTTTAAGTGTTGCAAGGTTTTTTTTCCTCTTTTTCGGAATTCATCGAAGTGCTCGCGGGGTCTCTTAACCATTACGCCCAGGATACAACTCTCTCTTTGAATTAGGGGTCAATATTCATCTCTGAGTCAGTCGATAATTACTTAAACCAGATGAATTGAGATAATGAAGCCTATAGATATCAACCATGTAAATGTTGTGATCCACCTTTATACATGAGTTCTGAGTATTAGTTTTCAATACAACGGCAGCCCTTAAAATCGAAGCGCATTACTGCTTCACGGCAGAAACAGAGAGGGTGATGGTACTTACCCAATCACAAGACGTCCTACGACCAGTAATTACGCAAATTATAATTTTTGCGGGTTTGATTTTTATTACACAATGCTATCTATTCCTTCATCGTGGAAGTCATGGTTGCGAGATTTGAACACCGTCACTGTCGCATCGTTATAAATATTAGTAAAATATTAATATTTCAATATAGTACCTAAAACTACAAATAAGAACCAAATACGCCAGCGAACTAATAACGGAATCTGCTTAAATACTACACTAAAATGTATGTTACCTATGGCTGATGATAGATTTTTACCTTCAACTAATACATTGATACAGACAACAAATATTTTTTGGTGGAAACGAGGCGTGGCAAGATACATTGTGTAGTATTTATATATTAATGATAATGGCTAGTATGTGAAAATGAAATAGCAACAAGTGGTTTCTTGGGTTTTTCTGAAATTTCCATTGAATTTTCAGTACATTCTCATCATTTAACTGAGAGTTTGCATCTAACACTCACGGTGTGGTCTTAGTTCACCTCATACAATTCTATTTCATTTTATTAAATTCATTGTATAATCAATTTTATTTCCACCCTGTGTATTTCGCTTTTCATTTAACAGAGATGGCTTCGGTATTCGTTCCAAAAATATGGCTATATGGGCTATTTTCCCTGTGTCTGGTCAATGGTCAACGCATAAAAAAAACGCAATGTCACATAATTCCCGCCAAATGCCAAACGACAGATTGCAATAGATAAAAACACTGAAGTATGAAGTCTATACTTTCTATGATAAAAACACATAATATTTGAAGACACCTGAAACTGGAACCAACGATCTTTCGGAGCGACTCTGTGTTTCATTCAATGCTTGCTTGTTAAAATGCTATCGAAGACATCATTCGAAAAATAAGCAGCATTTGCAAGCAAAGTGCAATTTACTCCCCTTTCGACAATCTTAAATAATACAATTAATATTAAGAGCCACGATTGTAACGCAAAAAACGGAGGCAATATTTCATCAAATAGTATTCTAAAATGAAGGCAGATGGCGTTTAAATAAATTATAATACAATTACTTATAATTTTAAAAAGATCGTCTAATAGAAAGCTTGAGTGATTTGATTTGCAAGTAAATAAAATAATAAAATAAATACTTATTTATAAAAACCTTTTCTCAATTCCATAAGAAGTTAATTTTTCAACCACTGACACTAAGAGCATAATACTGGGATTTTTTTATTTTTTTCTCTAGCTATTCGTTGGTAGCTTATGAGGCTATTCCAACTACGCTCGGACGGGTAAGTGAGCTCACGAGCTCAACCTGAGAGAATTTGCTAACACTGGCCCTAGCAAGAGCAGTGCTTCGCAGAATCTACCACCGGCTCGGAATCGCGACCCACTGAGAAGATCCGGCGAGAAAGTCTGTGGGCTGTGTCTATGGGTTAGTTCGCTCGTCGAACGTCGGACGGCGACCGGTGCCTGAGGATCCTAAAAGCGCCGAGAGTGAATCCAGGGGATCCGATAAGACAAGTTTCGGTCGGATAAGTAATTAGCGGCGGCCATGATGCCGCGCCGCTTTGTCGAAATAGCGTTCTGACACTTCCTTAAGATATTTTTTACATATCATCATCATCATCATCAGCCTTTATCTGCCCACTGCTGGACATAGGCCTTCCCGAATGCCTTTCACAGAATGCGGTCCTCCGCCTTCCGCATCCAACGACTTTCCGCCGTGCGCACTGAGTCGACGACTTCCTGGTCCACCTGGTTGGAGGACACCCCACGCTCCTGGTACCCATCCGTGGCCTCCGTTCGAGGACTTATCACTTATCTTAGGACATACAGGTACTAGATTTAGGTCGTCGTGAAGATCTGCATTCCTCACATACCACAGTGCTACGACGGCTATCCTGCAGAAAGGGGATTGGATGACCAGTTATATTGTACTCCCCAGAACGCAATCACGGCACGTATATTTGCATGACCAGTAAACCAAGCTTATTGTGCCACAGACGCTTTGAAAGTCTTACAGAATGTGAATATTCCTCTCGTATTTTATTTAAAAAATATTATTTTTATGAACTTATTATTTAGCTACAGGTTTTTTCTTCCAGGACACAACAACAGTTAATATTCTTCATAATAAATACCAGATGGCGATTCATCAACTTTCATGGGTTCCTGTTTTCACCAAAATAGATAATTTTATAAACAATTACAATATCTTTGTTTGGCATCTAAAAATCTATACCATAAACAGAGGGCAGATAATCTGAACGCATCGGAACGTCAAGGGGTGGGTGAGGGTGCTTAACGCATGCGCCCTCTGCAACCCCTCTAACTAACCCCTCCAAGCGAAGACTCCATTTTACTGACATTCCTTACGAAATATCTCTACGAAAATTGAACTCAAAACACATATTGGACGATTGATAAACTTAGAAACACGTTTTCCCACAGTGAAGTGTTTGTTGATTGTAAATTTTACAAAAAAAACGAAGGGTCTCCGCGCGTGCGTTCGTAATTACGTAATATTTTTTTATTCGTACGTCCTCTGATCTTGAAGATTTCCTATAGTTATACGGTGAGTGATAATTAGCTTGTTTAATAACGTAATTCAAACTGAATATCATCAGCTCATATACATATCAGCTTAATTTGGTCGAGTATAGTTGTTTCTCGTGAACCAAATTTATAGATTTTTAATTAAGAACAAGCTTAGTATTCGTAAGACACTACCTACTCCTAAACTAATTAGTATCGTAATTGAGTTTACTTCAGAAATGAAAGATAAAACTGTACAATGTACTGTTTGAATAGTAAACCTAATCGATATCTATATTTTATTATTCAAATTAATGGAATGTTGTTTTCGAATCAATATAGGTCAACATTTTCGAGAATTAATCGATTGATATTAGCTTCAGAAGACAGATTACCTACTTTAGTGGCGCAAAGCGATTTGAGCCGTTTTGTTACAATTAAACTTTTTACAATTTTTAATGCACAAATGTTGGTTTAAGAAGATTTTCATTTATAAGTCATACGAAATAATAGAAAACTTTAGTTCTCAGTTACCCTTGAGGATAAAAATATGAGTGAAAAAGTGATTATTTATTTAATTAGATAATTCCGCAAAGATTGTTTGTTTTGGTACTAGTGCCGTAGCGACATCTGTCAATGAATAGCAGAAGCTTGAATCATGCCAACAATAACTACAAGAAATTAATTCGAGTTTTTAACAATAACATTCGCACCATCGTGTTATATAATATGAAATATCCGTCACCACGTCATATTTCCTCACCGACCTAATTGCTTCCGCGGAAGAAGTTCACTTTTCATAAGACAGCAGGGACTACATTGAGTAAATTCATGGCTTGAATATTGATTTATTTACATATTATTTTCATACAACAACTCTGAATATTACTACATATATTAATGGCGTTCTGTGACACTGCATAAATTGGATTTTGTTATCATTAATTGAGTCCAATTGTGATTTAATATTATTCGAGTAGTACAACTTGAAGGACACAAAGTGACATCTATTGATGAATGGAAGAAAGATGGAAAAACAATTCGTACATGGTATGGTACCAAGGCTTAAAAGTTTTCTATAATTTTATAATATTTTATAGACTATCGTTCTGTCAAATAAAATACTTGCTCAATAGAACACACATAAAATTACCGATTTTTGAAGTGCAACTTCTTTACGTGCGTTGAGAGTAAAATTTAACTCGCGACTGTTCGTTACGGCTAGAGAGAAAAGATACAATTTAGGAGGAGCGAGAGTGAGAAAATAGATAGAGCGTCTCGCGAACCGCTCGATCTTGGAGAGAGGGAGAAAGCGAGCTAGGTCGTTTCTCTTATACAATTCTGTTTACGGGCATCAGCCACCTTGTTATTAGTATTTTGTTGCTCCTGTAGGCAGTTAAGTATTTTATATTTTATTTTTCATGAAGAATTAAAAAGAAACATATAAGTAATTTAAAATATGTATAAATGGTGAAGAGGTCGTTACTCTTATAGGTACACAAAATTCCCTATTACAAGAGAAATTTGATTTTAAAAATGAAAAATGAAGAAAACCACAATACTACACACCGCAAAAGAAGTTTTACTTCTTTCACGTGCACCAAGTTACACGCGCACCATTTTTTAAAAATGGAATTGAATCTTCATGGCCCCTTCAAACAGTCGTGTTCTATTCAAACTAAGATATACTCCACTTATGGTAGATTCTGCGAAGCACTGCTCTTGCTAGGGCTTGTGTTAGCAACATTCCGGTTTGGGCCACGTGAGCTCGCCTACAGCCTCTTTACTACCACTCTCTTCTTCTTCTTCTTCCCTTATTCCCTCATCATGTTTTAGACCGGCGATCTGTCCCGCGTCAACCCTGTTTCTGTTATATATGTAGTAGTAGATCCATTGCAACGGGCCGCAGGGAGAGACATTTGGGTTAGGTTTTTTTTTATTGCTTAGATATGTAAGTTTTAAGATCTCAGTATAATTACAACGGCTGCCCCACCCTTCAAGCCGAAACGCCTTACTGCTTCACGGCAGAAACAGGCAGAGTGGTGGTAACTACCCGTGCGGACTCACAAGAGGTCCTACCACCAGTAATAAAGTCCACCAGTGTCTGTTTGTTCCGGCTAATCTCTGGAATAGCTGGACCGATTTTGACGAGACTTTCACTGATAAGTAGCTGATGATATAAGGTGTAACTTAGTCTTTTTTTAGACTAGCTTCACTTTTTTAGACTGTCTTGCGTTGCTTACCAGACACAGAAACTAAAGAATTCTGAACCGCATTGTCATTTACGATGAAAAATGGATTCTCTTTGATTACCGTAGGCGACAAAAATTGTAAAAAATATTATTTTGGTGTATGTACCGTATATATATTCATATGTATGTAGTAAAAAGTGGTTATTACAATATTACAAACAGATGCCCCAAATTTATTTCTATGTATAGATTTATGCCAGCCATACATAAGTAACATTTTTCAAATGGTCAGTTTTTAAAACGGCAACTTCATAGGTAGAGACATTATTTGATGAATAACGATATTTGTTATAACGTGCCGCCTGAGTTAATGGCTAGTTCGTCTAGAATCAATCATCGTCGAGCAAACATTTACAAAATATGTATATGTATGTATTTGATTTGTGATCAATAATAATAGTAGTACAAGTTGACCTATATTACGATTCATTAGCCCATCGCGGCGTTCGCTTCACCGTCGGGGCAAACATTTGGACGAATCAATAATGCCTTTAGGGCAATAAACGAATGATTTATGAGAGCTTACGCTGTTATTGATGTTTTAGGGACTTCACAAACTGTTTTAGAATACGAACCGCGCTTACTTTGTTACATGGATAAGACACGCTGAGTCGGAGACGTGTTACAGCTTTTTTTATGAATCAATGATTAGCAGTTTCACCAGGACAGATGGGCGAGCAAACGCCCGGCCAAAAAATATCATTTTCTAACGGGTGTTACAGTTATTTTAATACGTTTTTATTAGCTTCAGACGTATCATCATTATCCTTTCTCCCAGTCACCTGGGATCGGCGCAACATGTTTTCTCCTTCCATACTCTTCTATCATATACCATTTCGTCGCTCACTCCCTTCTTACCCATATCGTCTATCACGCAATCCATCCATTTCTTCTTAGGTCTACCTCTTCCTTTATATCCTTCCACATTCATAGTTAGCATTCTCTTACAACATGATTGAATATGATTTTGACCCCCTTCAAAACGTCGGATTAACTCGAAATTTGGTATACTTCTTAAGGATCGATGATAATTCAATATTAAAAAAAATATTAAAAAAATATATTGATAAAATTGAAATTCAACTAAAATATGAAAAATAAATAATAGTTTAAAAAAACTAAAACAATACGCTTTTATAGAAAATCCAACTAAAAAATAGAAAATAAATTTGAATTAAAAATAGTGTAAGAAAAAATTATTTTATTGTAAAAAAAAAAGCGTGGGGTGGATGGTATCAGTAGTTATAAATATTTTATGAACAGATTCTGATATGAGTAGAAGAGTTATTTTGATAATATCCTGAAAAGCACTATTTTTAAATCAAATTTATTAAAATTTATTTTTTAGTTGGTTTTTCTATAAAAGCATATTTAAACTATTATTTATTTTATCCTTAAATCACGATTACCCTTGTGACTATCTTAGAACAGAAGTTATTCACAAAACCCTGAACCTCGGTAAGGACAGTCTCAAGATATTCTTACGGACTCACTTTTGCGATTGCTTGTCTTCCTACAATAGCAATAAAAAAAAATACATACAGTTGTGACTCTGTGACTGAAATGAACTATCATTAGAATTGTCAGAAAGTCTTCGGTATTATCATCGATCAATTAATTACCAATGGTATTATAAATAACGGCAACGCTTTATAATGACCGATTTAACAAAATGAAAATGATACACAAACAAAAGTAGCTTTTTTTATTTATTTCTCATTTACTTCAGATATTGCATCCATATTCCATTCATGAACATTTCATATAGTATACCAGAATTAAATAAAAACAATATAACTACAATCTCGGAATAGAACAAAAGCAATAATAATAACAACCTAACAAAAAATTAAATAATAATAACAAAACAAAAACTCAAAATTAACGTCAAACCTACCTTAACCTAAAGGCTGGTTTGGATCCAGAGTGCTCAACATGCACACGTGTCCAGTGTTGCATTATTGGGCAGTCCAGATCCATCCGTGAGGCGAGCAGCCGTAGGTAGCTGTTGCGACTGACCCTCACGCGGCGAATCAGGGAAGCAATTCGTTTACGAATGATTGCTGCGAAGCTGTATATATGAATATTCCATTAATAGAAATAAAAATTGAATAGTGTCTGTATGTGTGTTTGATATAGACATCGAAATGGACGGTCTCGTTGTGATTAAATTTTCAGGAATTCTTCAGACTGGTCTAACAGATTCTCCTATGAAATTTGGTAGTGATCAGATACAGGTCAGATCAAGTATCTACCAGCTAAGCAGGGCTCAACTAGTCAGTGATTTAAGGCGCAAATTTTTAGAACAATACTATTAATAATGTCAATTATGCTGTAAAAGTCAGCTTAAATTAACATTTTCCGTGCATTGGATACTTTATAAAATCGACGAATAAGCAAAAGTAATAATTTTAACAATTCATTTTTTTTCATTTCCATAATTACTGGTAGTAAGTAGGTACCACCACCCTGCCTATTTATGCCGTGAAGCAGTAATGCGTTTCGGTTTGAAGGGTGGGGCAGCCGTTGTAGCTATACCGAGACCTTAGAACTCATATCTCAAGGTAGGTGGTGGCATTCACGTTGTAGATCTCTATGGGCTCCGGTAACCACTTAACATCATTTGGGCCGTGAGCTCGTGTTGGACGACATCTAAGCAACAAAGAAAGACGAATAATCAAATGTAAAAATTAATACTTTTACCAATAGCTTCAAACATACTCGAAGGAAACAAAACTGGGTGTAAGCTAAGATTTAAACTCCGCATTATAAATCTGACAAAAAGCAATTTTG